TGGACTGAACTGGGACCTAGGTTGTTTCTCTCATTAACAATGCCTGCTGTTGTCATTTGGCATCTGAAATCACTTCACTCTCCAAGATATAAGGACAGATGGACTCCCATTCTAGCTGTATCTGAAGAAGTGAGCAGTGATTCATGAAAGCTCCTACCCTGACAGAAACTTTGTTAGTATAGGTGTCTGCCGCGGGCCCCATTGCGAAGGGGTCGGAGGCGGCCAGGACAAGTAAGCAGGTAGCCGGGGAAGCGTTCCCCCCACCGCACCCAACGAAGATGCGGCCGTCGTGGTGATCAACGTTGTGGAGGTCGTTGGGACCGATCCCGTGTCCCCCTCCGTGTTAGGTGTGGTTCCCTCTATCCCGCTCATGGTCTCGCCAGCCTCGATACTGTCTCTCTCTCTCTCTCTCTCTCTCTCTCTCTCTCTCTCTCTCTCTCTCTCTCTCTGGCATACTCTCTTTAGCTCCCCCCCCCAAGAAGTCTGCAGTCAAACAAAAGCTTATACCTGGAAGAAGTTGCTAGTCTTCCTAAAGAGCTCCTGGACTCCATTCCCCCCCCTCTGTCTCTTTTCCTCCCACTCCTTCCTGTTGGGATCCCAAGCATCGAGAATAAATCCACGTTTTAAAGAAAAGCAAAATTTATTTCAAAGCGTTGGAAAGACACTCAAACACGTTCTTTGTTAGAACTGACTACAAACGGTTAGGGCAAGCATAATAAAGGGATTTGAAACAGGTACAGAACCAATGGGTCACTTTCCCGCTGGCGGGTAAGCTAAAACGGGTTCGCGCTCATTCCCTGAGAACCAGGTTATCTCCAGACATAACACAGGTGCAGTTCCCATGCTCTAAAAGCAACAAGCTGGCAGTGAAGCGAACTCCCCCAATACATCCTCCAGTTGTTTGGCTTAGGCATTACAGCAGAAGAGAATACTAGCGAACAGGCAGGGGGGGGTGAGCAACTGTACAAAGACACAAATAACACAGAACACCATGGCAGCTTGCTGACACTGCCTCACAGGGGTGTCTGTTGTGGGGCGGGGAAGGGAAAGGAGTTTGTAAGCCGCTCTGACACACCTTTGGGTAGTGAAGGCCGGGCTATAAATCCAATCTCTTCTTCTTGCTCCTTTCTACTGATAGGATAGGTCCTTTTGGGAAAGGAGGCAGGGTAAAAGTGTCTTAAATAAGTTGTGCCTTACAAAGCATAGGAACTCTTTGACTGTTAGACACATCTGTGGAATGTGGGGATTTCGGCTTTAAAAACTATGCCACGTAAGCCTTGAGGGCCAGTCCACCACTGCTTTGGAACGGACATACGCAGGGAAGAAATGCAGTTCTGGTAATATTCCAGGGGAAAGCAAAGACTCCATCAAGCAGCCCTACAAAGAGACCACATCCTTACACTGCTTGACTGTAGGTTCCCCAAAAGACAGGCTTCCCGGTAGCTTAATGACCATCTGGCTTCTGCTATTTTTAAGCATAAACCCAGCCGGGGATGTTTCTGCTCTCTCTTTGCGGGATGAGATTGCTACTTTTGACTGCTAAACCGAAGAGCGCGGTGAGGTCTCTGACGTAGAAACTCCGGCCCCTGTGTTTGCAGACCTAATCATGGAGCCAGGGTGGAAAACGGGGTTTCCAAAACCAAGATTGAGATCTAGGTTACCAGGGCAGCTTCCTGTTTTGAAGGTGTGGCCGAGGGCAAGCTGGGAATGCGAGCCTCCCCCGGTTAAGCTGTTTGTCCCGGGTGAGAGTCGTAAAGAGCGCGTGGCCTCTGTGCATACGTGGACAGTCTGTCTCCATGGGCATGTTTTCACAGCACGCCAGCCACGCTCATAACCTCGTGATGTTAACTCACCTTTTCTTTAACACTTTGGAATAAAAGTGTCTTGTCTTTAAACTTCAGAGTCAGTGGCTTTTAGCCAACAATCATCCACCCCCAAGCAAAAACAGGAATAAAGCCATCAAGACTGGCGGTGTAGCCAGACCTCCCCCCCCCCCTTGTATTTTCCAAGCTCCAAAGCCAAACAGCAACAAATCCTTTATGCAGCCTCATGCTCAAGAGGTTTTTAATCGTTTCCCGCAATTCTTGCATCACCCTGTAAAAGCAGATAACTCCGAAGCGGCAAGCGTGGTTTTGCGGCTTGATGAGTTTCTGGCTGAGGGGGGATTCGGATCTGGAATCCGTCCCCGTCCCCCCTCCGCCCCTGTTACCAGCTCCTCAAATCAATCAGATTAAATGTTCTAATCAAGAAATCCAACCCGGTTTGCCGTTTGAAGTGCTTCTGCACAAACACCGCTCACAGCAGCTGCGCCCGTTTGCACAACTGCCGCTCACTTCCCAAGGTTCCTACGGGAACTGCGTAGGTGAATGTGCTTGGGGCAAAGCAGGCCCCGCCTCCGAGTGGAGCAACGATAACATAGATGTGTTAAGTCTGAGTCCAGGTTAACCCTAACCAGCGGCACCTTTTAAGGCCAACACTTTTATTCAGGCATGCACACTTCTTCAGATACAATGAAATGGAAACTACAAGTCCATACATATAGGCAGAGGGCAAGCAGTAAGCAGAATGAAGATGTTTAACAGATGCAGGGACCAAACAGGAATAACAAGCTTTAATTTATATGGCCGCCATTCGTTTGGGTTTAATTCCGGGGGGACGGGGGACATAGTGAAGGATTTGTCAGATTTGGAGATTGATGGGCAGATGTATCCTAAATTGTGGGATGCTGAGAGTACTTAACTGAGACCCTGCCGTCATGCTCCACCCATCTCCTCTCAAGCATGGAGGCATCCTTACAGCTGTAAAGTGACCTCACATCTGCCCATCAGTCTCCAGTTTTGACCTATTTATTTCCTTCACTATGTTTTCCCCCTGGAATTAAAACCCAAATGAATGGTGACCATATAAGGTAAGCTTGTTATTCCTGTTTGGTCTTTGAATCTGTTAAACATCTTCATTATGCGATATGCTAACTTACTGCTCACCCTCTACCTATATGGATGGACTGGTAATTTCCATTTCAATATGAGAGCCAGTTTGGTGTAGTGGTTGAGTGCACGGACTCTAATCTGGGAGAACCGGGTTTGATTCTCCACTCGCAGCTACTGGATGACTTTGGGCAAGCCGTAGTTCTGATAAGAGCTGTCCTTGAAAAAGAGCCGTTTCTGTCAGAGCTCTCTCAGCCCCACCCACCTCACAGGGGGTGTCTGTTGTGGGGAGGGGGGGGAAGGAGATTGTCAGCCGCTCTGAGACTCCTGTGGGTAGTGAAGGGCGGGGTATAGATCCAATCTCTTCTTCTCTATGACTGAAGATGTGTGCCTGCACACAAAAGCTCATACCCAGAATTAAGCTCTGTTGATCTTTGAGGGGCCGCTGGAGTCAAACGCTGGAGTCCGTGGCTTCAGACCCACCCGGCCGCCCACCTGAATGGATGTGTTAAGTGATGCCTCTCTAAGCGAGCTCTGTAATAAAAGCCATTTACTCCCCCGTGTGAAACTCGGGCGGCAGCTCACTGACCCAGATCCAGCAGAGTTACCCGCAGGGCGACATGTTGGCTGCCCACTGGTTCTCAAGTGGACAGTGGAGGAGCCGGGCCGGGCCGAAGAGCTCACCGCCACTGCGTTCTAGTGGAGAAAAGGATTCAGGTTGTGCGCTGAAAATGTTTCAGCAGTTGCTGTGTAGAGGAAAGAACACCGGGGATCTTGTGAAGCAGGCCTTTACAGAGAGCTGCTTGCCAAATGGGCCAAGTCAAAACATGAAGCCTTGGCTGGTGTTCCCTCTAAGCTGAGTTAGTGTGAGCCAGCTCACAGTTTTTTAGCCTCTGGTGCACACGTTTTTGTCTTAGCTCAGGAAGGATGGGCTTCAGAGCAAACTAATTTATGCAGTATAGCCAAATTGCTCGCTCACAACTTTAAGAAGAGAAGAGAAAAGGTTGGATTTCTACCCCACCCTTCACTACCCAAGGGAGTCTCAGAGCGGCTTACAAACTCCTTTCCCTTCCCCTCCCCACCACAGGCACCGTGTGCGGGAGGTGGGGCTGAGAGAGCTGTTTCGAGGATTGCTCTTGAGAGTACAGCTCTGAGAGAACTGTGACTTGCCCAAGGTCACCCAGCAGCTGCAAGTGGAGGAGTGGGGAATCAAACCCGGTTCTCCCAGATTAGAGTCCACGCACTTAACCACGGTGCCAAACTGGCTAATAGCGGTAGCTCACAAAGTAGAATTTTTGCTCACAAGACTCCACAGCTTAGAGGGAGCACTGGCCCTCGCTACTAAAATTACAAGGCCACAAAGTCTGGCTTTTCTCTTGTCCGGACTGCAGTGCCTGAACAGCATCTTGAGAGGCCTCAGCCGGGGCACAGAGCCTGCGTTTCAGAGGCAGCACTCGATGCCATGTGCCCAAACGATTCAGGTCGCTTCGGATACGGGAATTCTGGGCTAGGCGGAGGACGTCTGGGGACAATTCTCGCTCTGCTCCTCCACAGGTGCTGCTTCAATCATGACTGCTGTTACGGGGAAGCGGAGAACGCCGGCTGCGCGCCCAAGATGGAGAGCTACCTGTGGGAGTGCGAGGACAACGCGGCCAAGTGTGGTGAGTCAGTGCTCTGCTCGGGGGCGGGAAGATGCCCATCTCCCAGAACAGGGGGGCAAAGGGGATTCTCCAGACGTGGCTGAGAGATAATGTGGCTGTGAGCCTGAATTCCAGACAGAGGGTCAGATTGACTGTGGCAGAGGGGAGGGGAGGAGAGGTCATCTTGCCTGTGCCATGAAGGGGGGGGGGAGTCCATGGGGGGGTCCTGGAATGTGCTCTCCAGTTGCAGCCGACCCACAGCAACTCTGCGGGGGGGGGTCTCCAGCAGTGTCCCCTCTAAGCTGAGTCAGTGTGAGATCGCTCACAATTTTTCAGCCTCCGGCTCACCCATTTTCATCTCCGCTCAGGAAGGATGTGGCTCCAGAGCCAGCTAATTTATGCAGCGGCCAAATCGCTCGCTCACCACTTTTAGGGCAGTAGCTCAAAGTAGAGTTTTTGCTCACAGGACTCCACAGCTTAGAGGGAGTATCCGTAGCGACTTCCTCGGTGGTCGAGTACTGACCAGATCCAGTCCTGCTTAGCTTCTGAGATCTGATGAGATCGGGCTAGCCTGTGCCGTCCAGGTCACGGTGGGCTAGTCCATAAGAAAACTACATTTGTTAGCTTCAGGGGTGCCACAAGATATTCAGAAGATGCCCAACAACTAGGTTCCTAAATACCTTTCTGTAAACAAGACCCTAAAACCTGCAGAATGGCCAACTCACGACAACCCGTGCCAGCGGCCTGACCCGGCGGCTTCTTGTCTTTTCTTTTCACAGAGGACATCGAAGACAAGTGCCAAAAGATGGCCTGCAAGTGCGACCGTGAAGCGGCCAAGTGTCTGGCCAAAGCCCCCTACAACGCGACGCACATCTTGTGGCCCGTGGATCGCTGCGGGACGTCCACCCCTCCCTGCAAAGGCGATTAACGCAGAGGAGAGACGGGGCTGGATAGAGACTCTCTTTTTTAAAATAAAAGCAGTAGCAGCTGAAAATCTTCCCTGCAATGGGAAGTCCGTTTTCTCGGCACCGGTAACTCCGGCTTTCCTGGCAAATTCAGCCGTTCTTCCATTAACAAGGAGCGCTCGGGCATAACACCAGAAGAGCCCTGCTGGATCAGACCCGTGGCCCATCTAGTCCAGCATCTTTCCCCACACACACACACCAGCAGCCGTGGACGGTCCCTAACCCTAACCCTAACCCAACAGGGTCCAGAGGCCGAGGCCTTCACCCGGATGCTATTTCCTAGTGCTGGAATTCAGGGGTTGACTGCTTCTGAACAGAAGAGGCGCCATGTTGGATCAGGCCAGTGGCCCACCCAGTCCAACACTCTGTGTCACACGGTGGCCAAAACCTCTGACTTCAGAGGTTCCCTCTAGTCACCGTGGCAGGTAGAGCCACTGGTGGACCCCCTTTCTCTCTGTGAATCTATCCAACCCCTATCCAATCTATTCCCATGGCCAGTTTGGTGTCGTGGTGAAGTGCGCGGACTCTAATCTGGGAGAACCGGGTTTGATTCCCCACTCCTCCTCCACTTGCACCTGGCTGGATGGCCTTGGGCAAGCCATAGTTCTGTCAGAGCTGTCCTTGAAAAAGAGCAGTTTCTGTCAGAGCTCTCTCAGCCCCACCGACCTCCCAGGGTGTCTGTGGTGGGGAGGGGAAGGGGAAGGAGTTTGTAAGCCGCTCTGAGACTCCTGTGGGTAGTGAAGGGCCATGGGGTATAAATCCAATCTCTTCTTCTTCTCTGCATCTTCTCGTAGTGAACTCTACTATTTAATTATTTGTTGAATAAAGACGTTTTTCCTTTTGCAACGGTGGCCTCTTGACTTCGTCGGGTGTCCCTGGGCCCTCGTTTTTGTGGGAGAGGGAGAAGATTCTATGTACTTTCTCGACACAATGCATAGTTTTAGAAACCTCTACCATGTCGCCGTCCAGCTCATCTTTTCTGTACACCAAAAAAGCACGAGGCTTTTCAGACATGGCTCGTAGGAGAGGTGTGCCAGCCGCTCCGTCATCTCAGTTACCCTTTCTTCCCTTATCTAGCTCTGGAATACCTTTGAGTTAACAACAAGCAGAACTAGACACGGGATTCCCAATGTGGTCACACCCAGTGTTCCCTCTAAGCCGAGTCAGTGTGAGCTAGCTCACAGTTCTGTAGCCTCCGGGTGGGGACCCCGCCACAAGAACCGACCAGGGACACCTACGCTTTAACTGCTTTTTAATCCATCCCCATGACTTGGTTTACTCAGGAGTCTGTGTCAAACACTTTTTGGAAGTATTACAAAATCTGTGGGATCACCCTTATCCACACACTCGTGCGTTTTTCCCACCTTCATTTCAGCCTGGGAGCCGGACCCCTACCTTGACTTGGCTGCTCTGGCCACGTGGATCCATGCCACGGTTACCACAAGGCTAGACGACTGTCATGCCCGCCACATGACCCTGTCCTTAAGGACAATGGTGAAACTCCAGTGGGTGCAGAACACCACAGTTCAGTCGCTCTAGGGCACTAGGTGGAGCATGTGGGTCACACCCATCCTGCAGTCACGCTGTCAGTTACCACGGGCATTCAGGAAGGGCACCCCCCCCTTCTCCTTTTCACAGAATGTGCAAAACAGAATATGGTGAGGAGGACATTTTCATGAAGGAATTGGAAGCACCGTATAATGGAACAGCTCGAGAGTTGGCTTTTGTAACTGGGCTGGATGACGTCTCATTGTACGTGCCCCACCTTCGTCTGCACCGTCTTCGCAACCGACTTTCCACATTATCATGGGCCGTGCCTTAATTTTGCATCTTCCTTGTTCTCCAGTTCCATAATAGCCTAGTCCTATGAGCCAGTTTGGTGTAGCGGTTAGGAGCACGGGCTCTAATCTGGGAGAACTGGGTTTGATTCCCCCTCCTCCACTTGCAGCTGCTGGTGTGACCTTGGGCCAGTAACAAGTTCTCTCAAGGGCAGTCCTCGAAAGAGCCCTCTCAGCCCCACCTGCCTCACAGGGTGCCTGTTGTGGGGAGGGGAAGGGAAAGGAGACTGTAGCTGCCCTTAGACTCCGAGTGAAGGGCAGGGTACAAATTCAATCTCTTCTTCTTCTTTCTTACTGGAGGTGTCATGCTGGTCTGAATGAATTATTTAAAAAAAATATTTTGTAATCCACCTTCAGCCTCAGAGTGAAAGGCATCTGGGACCCGAGTGTGCCGCATGACGGAGATCAAGTTCATTCCTAGAGGAACCCAGAGGCCGTGGATCCTTTCTGTGTCCTGCCACTAGGAAGGGGGCGTCAGGGTCTGGCCTCCTGTCATTGCCAATGGTGGCTGTAGTGCGCCTTGAAAAGATGCCTGCTTCTCACCTCCATGGTGCCTCCAGAGTCCTCAACTCCACCAGGTTTCTTTCTCCAAAGGCCAGCTGGCTTGTCCCAACATCTCTGTGTGTGTGCGTGAGTGGGAAATGTGCTTGCCAGGTACTCCCGCTATAGACGGAGGAGTCCTAAGAAGGTCCCATGAGGACTAATTATGAAAGAAGCGTTGAACCGCGGGATGCGCAAGTTCACACGGTCTCCTTGCTGCAGGTGGAATATACCTAGGAGGAGGAAAAAAGGCCATCAGCTCAACGATCCCAACTTCGGACAGGATTTAGTTAAGTTCTGTACATGTACATATGAAACTGCCTCATACCGAATCGGACCCTCGGTCCATCAAGGTCATGACAAGTAACAAGCTGACATATAAGCTTAGAAAGACAGGTCCTCACAAAAAACTATGTTTATTAACAGCCCCCTTTTTTTTTAAACTAACCGTAGTTTAACAGGGAATGATCTCCTAACCTTGGGTTTTTAGTTTAGTGTGGGATGCCTTTCCTTTCTCCCTAACTGTAGCTCCCCTATCCCTATTTTTTCTTGGTAGTTTTTGTAGTATTAAAAAAAAAGAAAAAATCCCCTCCGGGGGCTTATTAAAAAAAAAAAAAAGGTCAGTATCGCCAATCTGATTGGCAGCAGCTCTCCAGGGTCTCAGGCCGGGGTCTTTCCCATCACCTACTGTCTGGTTCTTTGAACTGGAGATGCCGGGGATTGAACCTGGGACCTTCTGCATGCCAAGCAGAGGCTCTGCCACTGAGCCCCAGGCACCATGGCTTTTAACCCATCTTGCCTCCTCTCCCAAACTGGCCCAGCGTTCCGTTCTGTTCCCTCACCTCCACTGTAGCAAGTGTTGTATGCCTGCTCCAGATTGGCCGGCATGCTCTGGATGCAGCGGAACAAGGTCTGATCCTCCCCCTCCGGCCGCAGCCGCCGCAGCTCCTGCCCCATCGTAAAGGTGTGGTCATGAAACAGCACCTGGGAGGAGGAGGAGGAGAGGAGGAGGAGAGGAAGAAGGATGATGAGGAGAAGAAAGTGTGCGGACATTGGGTCACTCTTGGACAGCGAAGTGGCCAGTGGGCCAGAGAGAGCGAGGATGGGGCACTCATGGGGGAAAATCCAGTGGGGTCAATACCATACTGGCCAGGCAATACCGTACTGACCCCAACTCTCTACCAGCACTGGGATTGAGGGCCCACAGATGAACTGTGGCTCGGGAGCCGCATGCGGCGCTTTCACACCTATTCTGTGGCTCCTGGCAGGGCGGCTGGGGAAGCGAAGGGGAAGAAGGCCTCCCACATCGGTCTTCCCTTCCCCAGCCAGTGTTCCCCTCCCTGGGTAGGCTTGAGGTGGTGATGGGGAGCAGAGAAAGAAAGCTTTCTTGTTATAGATGCGTTCTCAAATCCCCCCCACCCACCAGCCAGCTCGGAGGAGGCACTTGTCTCTTTAAATCCCACTCTGTAAGCCACTCTGAGAGTCCGAGTGAAGGGCAGGGTATAAATCCAATCTCCTCCTCCTCTGCCAAGCCAAGCCAAGCCAGCTGGCAGGGGGGGTGAGGGGGTCGGAGGATGCATTTAACATTAAAGTTGCTTTCTTTCCACCTCTCCCTCCCCTCCTCCCCCCATCTATTCCCCCTCAGAATTTGCTTTCTTTGTTCCTCTCTCTCTCTCTCTCTCTTTCTTTCCACCTTTCATTCTTTCTTTCCACCTCTCTCTCTTTCTTAGACAACTTAAATATCATTAGCAAACAAATATAAATGGACAAATATCATTATCAATCTCTGGTTTTACCCCTTTTGTTTTAACTTTTGGCAGTCTCGTTGATAACGTTTGGATATTTTTCAATAAAGACGGGTGTGCGATATGTGTCCATGTCTTGCCGCTCTCAAGCATCTGATGTTTATTCTGTGTGGCTCTTACATCAAGCAAGTTTGGCCACCCCGGGTCTAGGCTGACCCTACATGGAGCAGGGGGGTTGGACTAGATGGCCTCTATGGCCCCTTCCAACTTACAGAATCACAGAATGTTAGAGTCGGAAGGGACCTTGCAGGTCATCTAGTCCAACCCCCTGCACTCTGTAGGAGCACAGCCGAAAGAGAGCCCTACAACATACCCGAAAGGTGGTCATCCAGCCTCCGCTTTTATTTATTTATTTATTCGAGTATTTCTACCCCGCCCTACCCCGCAAGCGGGCTTAAAAACGTCCAGCGAAGGAGCATCCACCCCCTCCCGAGGCAGTCTGTTCCACTGCTCTACCACTCTTATGATTCTGACTCGGCCCCACTGGAAGCCCCAAAAGAAACCCAGAAGCGGCACGAGGCAGGTCAAAGTGCCAAAGCCTGCCCGCCCTTACATCCCAGAAGCTTGCGGGCAGAAATATTAGAAAAAAAGAAAACAATCCTGTTTAATTCTCCAAAAGGCTCATAGGCAAATCTGAAGATCAGATTAATACAAATACATAATCAAAGCTTCATTGGTAAGGAAACAAGCATTTAAAACAAAGCTCAGCGTGGTTTGGCCAACATTTAAACAAACAGCGAAAACAGGTGTGGTGCGCTCGAGAGACAGAACGGCCACTTCACAGTTGCTTGTCCGCATGCAGGGTTCTCGTTTTGGTTTCTTAAAAAGGTGGTCGTGGTTGGCAAATGGACTTAGAAAACCAATACAGCAACAGAAACATCAGATTTCTCGTTTGATTCATAAAAATGGTGGGGGAGGGAGTGGGGGGAGAAGGAAGCCCCAAATCAGGTTTGAAATCTTTTGTTTTACAAGGAGTCAGTACCTCTGTAAGTCTCCCTTTAAGTATCCAAATGCCCGAATGAGATAAACAAGCCTTTTTTCAGAAGACGAGATGGGGCAGAGACTTGACCCCCTCGGGTTCCTCAAAGTACCGGTCCACAGCCTGAACACACACACACAAACTGGCACAGCTGGTGTTTTGGACAACCCACTCCAACAACAAAGAGGCTGGCCTCCTTGGGGGGAAGGGGCTCCCAAAATGCCCTGGTTGCTTATCCCGCAACGACAAAGAAAACACTTCCTCCAAAAGTGGGTTAAAGCAAACAGGAAGAGAAACCAATGCAGGTTTTTATCACCGTAGAAAGAATAAGTCCCCCTCGCCTTCGAGACGGCTCACGGCGCACAAGGAAGGAGTCCGGGAGCGCCTGTCAGAGCACTTGCGTATCCAGGCGGCGCACCTCTTTGACCACGAGGTCGATGTTTATAATGGGGTTGAAGTACAAGGCCCAGTAGAAGAGGCAGTTGCAGACGAACTGAGGAATGAAGGGCCAGAAAATGGCTACCAGGAGTCCCTGGGTGGACACCTTCCAGAAGTGGTTCCACATCCGGTGAGGGATAGTTCTGGGGAGGGGGGGTGAGAGAGAGAGAGAGAGAGAGAGAGAGCGCACAGAGAGGACACATTCATGTGGCATCCAAGCCCTGATTCCTCTGCAGTCTTGGCGGAAGCCAAGCTCAAACACCCTCGCTGTTCCAACGGGAGCGTTCAGCCGCTTTGCCCAAGCCAATCCCTTGAAGGGAGTGTCTCTTGAACTTGCCCTGGAGAGGACATATTCGAAACACACACGGCTCTGGAGAATTTCTTTCTGCCCGGAGCGGGAAGAAGGTGGGAGGGACACGGAGCGTGGCAGGTGGGAAAGGGAAGTGTGGTTCCAAAGAGATGTCGGTCTGCGGTAGAGGAGCTAGACTGGAGTCCCCATAGTGTCTTAGAGACCACCAAGGTTTGTGGGGTGTCGGCTTTCCGGAGTCAACGCTCCCTTCGGCACTGGCCTCTACCACAGGGAGCTTCGACCCTTAAGACCCCGCAAACCTTGTTGGGCTCTAAGGTGCTATTGGGACTCCAATCTAGGAAAGGACATAACCAACGCTCCACCCTCTAAGCTGTGGAGTCTTGTGAGCAAAAATCCTTTGTGAGCTGCTGGCATTCAAGTTGTGAGCGAGCGACTGGGCTACTGCATGAATCCGTTTGCTCTGCAGCCCCATCCTCCCTGAGCTGAGACCAAAATGTGTGAGCCGGAGGCTAAAACACTGTGAGCTAGCTCACACCGACTCAGCTTAGAGGTAACACTGTTACAATCAGAAAAGGCCCTTACTTTAACTTAAGCAAAAAGACCACTGAGAAAGAAGAGAAAAATCTCAGCTGTTCACACCATCCATTACGTTTCTCTAAAGCAGGGGTGTCAAACTCATTTGTTATGAGGGCCGGATCTGACATAAACGAGACCTTGTCGGGCCGGGCCATGTGTGTCTTAAAATTTAAAGCCAGGCAGCGGAGATATAAACTTTATAAAGGACACAAACACAAAGGTGTTCTTTTTTACTTAAAATAAAAACATGCTTAAAACATTCGCTCTGTAAGCTGCAAACCTACTTTTGATTTATCAACATCCACCACAGAAATCTCGTGCTCAGAGTTCTGAGCCTGGGACCCAGGTTGAAACATGAAATGGCTGAGTGATTAAGAGAGTCTGGTGAAGCAAGCCATGATGCAGCAGCAGCAGAACTGGAAGCAGGAGATGAGCCAGTTCCACTGCGGGTCTGGCGGAAGCCCTCCGGGGGCCTCATCCGGCCCCCAGGCTGCATGTTTGACACTCCTGCTCTAAAGGGTTGTTTTTTCTTTAAAAAAAAAAGCCAAAACAAATGAACACAGCTGCTCCTCTGGAATAAAAACCAGGCCTGAAGGAAAGAGCAAGATGGCAGCTGCGAGACCCACCTGATGAGTTTTTGAGCTGTGATTCAACATTAAAGATGCATGAGAAGGAACCCGGCCCCTGATCCCTCTGGTCCAGGCCTGGTTGCTCCCACCTGGGGGTCTCCAGGGCTAGGGCCAGACTTCTTGTTCACTGGAGTTGCCCAAAACAGAACTTTCAGTGTGCAAAGAAGGTGCTGCTCAGCTGCTGAGCCCCGGGACGATAATAAGAGCAAGTCCCTGTTCAATGGCCTCCGGTCAGCAAATGGGGGACAGAGGAGTTATTACTACGCCATCTGGGATGAGTTTAATTTATAGATCAAAGTGAGCAGCCGTGTTGGTCTGAAGCAACAGAACAAAGTTAGAGTCCAGCGGCACCTTTAAGACCAGCAAAAGTTTATTCAAGGTGTGCGCTTCCGTGTGCCAGGCACAGTTCGTCAGACAATGAAATGGGACTGCGTATCATAGCTGTGTATATACAGGAGTGGTTTGTTAAATCAGCGTGCAAAATAGTGAGGACACATTTTTCATAACAGATCAAAAGAATGATAACGCTTAGTTCCTGGTTATCATCTGTTTCGGTTCCACTGGGGGGGGAGGAAACAACTAATTGTTGTTGCCGTTGTTGCTCAGTCGCACAGTTGAGTCCGACTCTTCGCGGCCCCATGGACCACATCATCCCAGGCCCATCCATCTCCAGTTCTAACATATTTATTACCCACGTTTCCCCCCCCCCAGTGGAACCGAAACAGATGATAACCAGGAACTAAGCGTTATCATTCTTTTGATCTGTTAAGAAAAAAGTGTCCTCACTATTTTGCATGCTAACTTAACAAACCGCTCCTGTATATACACAACTATGATATGTAATTCCATTCCATCGTCTGACGAACTGTGCCTGGCACACGACAGCTCACACCTTGAATATAACTTTGTGGGTCTCAAAGGCAGTGTTCCCTCTAAGCTGAGTTAGAGTGAGCTAGCTCACAGTTTTTAGCCTCTGGCTCACACATTTTTGTCCCAGCTCAGGAAGAAGGGCTCCAGAGCAAACTAATTTGTGCAGGAGCTCACAACTTTAATGCCAGTAGCTCACAAAGTAGAATTTTTGCTCACAAGACTCCACAGCTTAGAGGAAACATTGCAAGGGTGCCGCTGGACTCTTAACTTGGCTTAATTTATGTTCTACCGTCAATCATTTCAGTTATATGTCAACTGTATTTTAAATGTTCGTAAGGCTGTCAGTCGCCCTGAGCCTGCTTGCAGGGTGGGCGATTCATAAAGGCAATAAAATAATAAATAAATAAAAGCCCCGTTGAAGATAAACACACAGACTTTGGCAGCCGGAGATGGGAAAGGTGCCCATCTCAACAAAACGTGCCTCTCTCTCTCTCAACACTCTTGACCTTTGAACAGAGCTGCGAGGGCGTGCAGAGAAACAACCCCCAGGGGCACGGGATGCTGGAGTTGACTGTGCGGGGCTGCTACGAGGCTGGACTCCAGAGTTTGCCCAGGGCTCTGGAACTGCCGACGTGCCACAGCCTTCAATTCACTCATGGCTGCTATTTTCCCATCAATACTGGCTCCTGAAAGTCTGCACTCACCACTCAAGACCAGTAGAATCCCAGTGGCGCCTGTTGGTATTTTGCTGCCTGCCGACACCTTGCCTGGTGCCCACCGGGAGTTTTTGGAAAGGGGGTGGGGTGACTGGCCACTGGAAATCTGGTTTTTCAAAAGTTGCTTTGGCGGCAGCTGCCATCGCAGCGGAAGGATCTTCACTGTGGGACTGAAGGGAAGATGCGGCCGCCATTTTATGTCTGGCTCCGCCTCCTGCATCGGCCATTTTGTGCCTGCGCCCAATCCAGTGTTCCCTCTAAGCTGGGTTACTGTGAGCTGGCTCATAGCTTTTTAGCCTCCGGTTCACACATTTCTGTCTTGGCCCAGGAAGGATGGCTCCAGAGCATTATTCCCTCTAACCTTTGGAGTCTTGTGAGCAAAAATTCTACTTTGTGAGCTATTGGCATTAAAGTTGTGAGCGTGTGATTTGGCTACTGCAAAAATCAGTTTGCTCTGGAGCCCTCCTTCCTGAGCTGAGACAAAAATGTGTGAGCTGGAGGCTAAAAAACTGTGAGCTAGCTCACACTAACTCAGTTTAGAGGGAACACTGCTCCAGAGCAGACTAATTCATGCGGGAGCCAAGTCTCTCGCTCACAACGTCAATGCCAGGAGCTCACAAAGCTGAATTTTTGCCCACAAGACTCCACAGCTTAGAGGGAGCATGCCCAGCATCCTGCGTCTGAATTCCAAAGGCGCCCACAGGCTTCAAGAGGCCGGGGGCCCTGGCTTTAGAGCAAAGAGAAGACTTGCCTCTGTGCAGAAAGAGGGCCTTTTCTCATGCCTGTGGGGGAACAGAACGGGTCCTTCCCCCTCGTTCCGAATCTGCACCAAGTTCCCTCCCCGTGCCTCCTACTCCCCCCTCACGACACCGACCGAGGAGCAGAAACGGAGACACCCCCGCCCCCGCCCCCCCGCCCACTGGAGAGGGCGCCCGTGGGACTTACTTCAGTTCCCTCCTGGACCAGAGCCTCCAGAAGGAGAAGAGTTCCAGGACGGAGAGCAGCATGGCGTTGACGATGATGAAGCGGGACGTCCAGTAGTGCACCTCCAGCCAGTCCCAGGCGAACTCGGCGATCAGCTGGTAGGGCAGGAGGACGTACTTGACCAGGAATTCCCGCCACTGCTTCCACGCCGGCTCCTTCGGGTCCTACGGAGACAGAAGCCGTCACAAAGAACGACGCCCAACCCGCACGGAGCGCACTTCCGGTTCTGATGCTGCCGCCGGAAGCTGGTTGTTGCTGCTGCTGCTGCTGCTGTGATTGGGGGGGGGGGCCCTCACCACTTGCCCTGGTGCCATGCAGAGGTTCAACAATCCCTCCAGCCTCTGCTTCCCGGCAACCAAGAAACTCCCCCCTGTCGGCATGTGCATGAGGAACGCCTCTCTGGAGCACCCCTGAGAGCTGGGGAGAGTGTCATCAGAGTACTGAAGGGTATTCCATTTGAAATAAGACAGCGGAGAAAGAAATATAAAGATCTTGTTCTTTTTCTTCAAACAAATTCAATTGGATATAGATGGTTAATTCCAGAAGGCGTCACCTTTAATGCAGTTTGTAATGAGACTAATATGATTAAGACTAGATGTGTATTTAAGATGATTAAAAGATCTCCTCTCTTGGGTTTTTAGTCAGTAGTGGGTATCTTTTCTTTATCCCCCTAAATGTAGTCCCCTTCCTTATTTCTGTTATAGTTTATAGTCTTAATAAAAAAGCAATTAAAAAATTGGGGGAAGATGGGGGGGGGGAGGAATGCCTAAGCAAGACGGCACCCTGTTAGAGAGGTGATCTAAATGACATGATGCATCAGCCTGCAGGACGCACTTCCGTGAGTCAGCATCTCTGTGCTGATTGGATATCCATGTGTATATAAGTCTGTAATGTATATGCCACTATATACCAGTATGGTATCAGGTTGCTTGGCGAAGCACTTTGTCAGTGGAATCTGTGAATGCTTTGCCGGAAGGACTGTGTATATATTGTAAATAAACGTGTAAATAGCACTAACCTAAGCTGGTGTGTGCAAGATCTATTTGACTCTGCAACATTCACTCGAGGAACAGGAGATAGATCACCAGCCATTATTGCCCACAATACCGTCAACCCCCACCACCGGCCCACTAAGGACCCGATCCGCCTCCATAACCAGTCTGATGATCCAGGGTGCTCTAGAACAGGCAGGCCAAAGGCTGTCCTTCCGAGAGCAAACCAACCGGGCAGCTCCAGGGCGATTCTTCACTTTACAGCACATCACAGACTCCGGGCTGCTCAACTCCCAAGAAAGGTTAAAGCGCTTGGGGCCCTTTAGTCTGGGGAAACGACAGCTGAGGGGTGACATGATCGAGGTCTATAAGATTGTGCATGGGATAGAGCAGGTCGAGAAAGAATGACTTTTCTCCCTTTCTCACGATACAAGAACTCGTGGGCACTCCATGACATTGCTGAGCCGTCGGGTTAGAACAGATAAAAGGAAGTCCTTCTTCACCCAAAGAGCGATTAGCACATCGAATTCACTGCCACAGGAGGTGGTGGCAGCTACAGGCACGGGCAGCTTCAAGAGGGAATTAGATAAGCATATGGAGCAGAGGTCCATCAGTGGCTATTAGCCACAGGATATAGATAGGGACTCTCAGTCTGGGGCAAGGGATGCTCTTGTATTCTTGGTGCTTCGGGGGGGGGGGGAAGAGTGGGAGTGTTTCTGGTGTCCTGGCCCCACTGCTGGACGTCCTGAGGGCACCTGGTATTTTTGGCCACTGTGTGACAGAGTGTTGCACTGGATGGGCCACTGGCCTGATCCAACGTTGGCTTCTCTTATGTTCTTATAGGAACTCTCAGGTTGGGGCAAGGGATGCTCTGTATTCGTGGTGCTTGGGGGGGTCAACAGTGGGAGGGGTTCTAGTGTCCTGGCCCCACTGCTGGACGTCCTGAGGGCACCTGGTGCTTTTGGCCAGTATGTGACAGAATGTTGGACGGGATGGGCCGTTGGCCTGATCCAGCATTGGCTTCTCTTATGTTCTTATGTTTTTGACTTTTAAATTTCTAACTTTATAATTTATGATGGTCTACTGTTTATTGTCACGTCCTCTGTAACCTGTAACCCACCCCACCCCAGCCCGCTTGTGGGGAGGGTGGATATACACTGAATAGAATGAATAAATAATTCAATTACAACTTTAGCCTCTGAAAACCACAAAACAGCATACAAAAACAAAAAAAAACCCAGAAACCACGTCCAAGGTAGATTCAGGTGGGGTTGCTGTGCTGGTCTGAAGCAACAGAACAAGGTTTGGAGTCCAGTTGGGCACCTTTAAGACCAACGAAGTTTAATTCTGGGTATCAACTTTCGTCTGCATGCGCACCTCATCAGATACATCAGATGAAGTCTGCATGCGCACAAAAGCTTCTACCCAGAATTAAACTTTGTTGATCTTCAAGATGCCGCTGGACTCCAAAATCCACACCCAAGTCAGTGTCTCTAAAAAAAAAAAAAAAGCAAAGGCACCACTGAAAGCTATTCCAGAAAGACGGGAAACCTTCATCCTCATCTCTGATGGAGACAACGGTTGGAAAGTGTTGGGCAAATCACTGGAGGTTTTCCTGTTCTGGTGGGACACGTCCTGGTCAATGCTCCCTCTAAGCTGCAGAGTCTTGTGAGCAAAAATCCTACCCTGTGAGCTACTGGCCTTAAAGTTGTGTGTGAGTGACTTGGCTACTGCTCTGGAGCCACCTCCTTCCCGAACTAAGACAAAAACGTGTGAGACGGAGGCTAAGAAACGGTGAGCCGGCTCACAGTAACCTAGCTTAGAGGGAACATGGGTCCTGGTGCTCTCCGCCCTTCCTTAGCCTTGTGCCGGCCGCTCAAGCACTCTGCGTGACGCCGTCCCTGCCAAGCGTCCCTCCTGCTTGCTTCCGTCTCAAGATGGCCAAGTCCTCCATCGGGTCCTGAACACTTACCAGCAATTTGGCCGGAACGTCTTCGAGGCCCTCCTCCTCCAGCGGCTGCCGCTCCGGACAGATGGTGTGGATGAATGGGAGGAAGAGATCCGTGTAATCGAAGAGGTACAGGTAGAGCATCGTGAGCCGCGGGGAGCCCTTCAGGGCGTAGAGCAGGAACACAGACTTGCTGGGGTGGACCGCCTGGAAGCCAACGAAAGAGGGGGGCAGAGTAAATAACACACGGCACGGGGAAGGGGAAGGAGGCCGCTGGCGAGAAGAATAGAGGCACGTGCAGAAAGCCAGGCTCTTCCTGGAGGGAACCAACAAAACCAATGCTTCTGGGGAAAGGGTTTCTGCGAAAGAAAGCTCTGCGTCCTCCGCCCCCATGACTTCTTGCAAGTTACGCAGGCTCCTTCAGAGGACGTGGACCCCCGTGTGACCCCTGTGAAGTGTGAGCCACGGGAATCCAGTCTGGTGAGAAACAAGCTCCGGCCTTCTTCCGTTTTGCCACTTCAGGCCAGAGGGAGCAAGTTTGGAGGGTATCGCTCGGAATGGCAGAAGGACAGGCCTGCCCCAGGGGCACCACCTGCCCTGAAACCGACACGCAGCTCCCGCCAATTTCGGCAGGGCCAGGTGAGTCAGCGGGAGGCGGAGGGGTACTTTAGATTCCTCTTGGAAACGTCTTGGGCCCGCCCCGCTTCTTTGGGCATCGCTGCAATCTGACTTCACCTTCAAACTCAAACACGGGGAGCGAGGAGGGAATGAGCCAATATTAAATTCAATGGCCAATATTGAGAAGAGATTGGAGTTCTACCCCATGGCCCTTCACTACCCAAAGGAGTCTCAGAGCGGCTCACAAACTCCTTTCCCTTCCCCTCCCCACAACAGACATCCTGGGAGGGAGGTGTGGCCTAGAGAGCTCTGACAGAAACGGCTCTTTTTCAAGGACAGGTCTTATCAGAACTACGGCTTGCCCAAGGTCACCCAGCCAGGTGCAAGTGGAGGAGGAGTGGGGGAATCAAATCCAGTTCTCCCAGATGAGAGTCCGCGCACTCAACCACGACACCAAACTAGCTCTCAGTTAAACTACATATTAAAACGTCCCGGCCGGCTGCACACAGAGGCACTTGCAGAGAACGTTCAGTTAGTGACGGAAGGGAGTGGGGCGATTCTGGCCAACTCCTCCAGCCGACTGCTTTGAGCCTGGGGTCGACACGGCCGGCAAAGACAGGACCAGACAGAAGGGTTCGCCGGAAAGGATGCGGAGGCTCCTGTGGCAGCAGCTGGTGCTGTTTTTAAAAGCGACTTGGCAGGTGTGCGTGCGAGTTGTGTGTGTTTTGTGTGTGGTATGCCTTCCCTCCCGGGTTGTTCCCCCGACCTAGAATGGCCCTGGAGAGCTGCTCTTTGCACAGCAGGGGAAATGGACACGTACTGGTGCCACGTTTTTATCAACTTTCCCACAGGGACGAACAGGGATTCTTGGGGCTATCTCAGACTGGAAAAGTGGTGAGACGGGGGGAGTTTCACCCCACCCCACCCCACACTCCTGACCCAAACTGGTCTCCCATGACTTTCAAAAGAACACTGGGTGCTCCCCCAACATGGAGCTCACTGTGTTTTTCCTCCAGTGAGACCGTAAGGCGGTGGGGGTCAGGGCCCCCAGCCTCCTTGGACCTGCGGCCAAAGCAGAGGCAGCTTGAGGTGTAAAGCCCCCCCACCCCCCAATGCTCCCCCTAAGCTGTGGAGTCCTGTGAGCAAAAATTCTACTTTGTGAGCGGCTGGCATTAAAGCTGTGACCGAGCGATTTGGCTCCTGCATAAGTTAGTTTGCTCTGGAGCCCTCCTTCCCGAGCTGAGACAAAAGTGTGTGAACAACAACAACAATACAGTCCACAGTAAACAATGGCCAAAAAAACAGCAAATAACAACTGTGTACTGCACAAACCCGCACCAAAGTTAACAAAAAGAGACTTCAACACAAAGGTAATTCAACACATGTAATCCATCATAGGAAAATACAAAAGTCCACAATATCCCAAATTTCTCAAAGGGAAACAATGAAGTCTGGAATAGATATCAACACTTTTCCCAGGTATTGTTCAGTGTTTCGGACTTCTGGTCCTTCCTCAGGAACAAAAAGCCACTACAGGAAGTCTCATTGCAATTTCTTAACAGGCAAACTTTATTCAGTTTCTATATGGGCCAGGTCTCCTAAGCTTTAGAAAGCACCTACCAAGGTTTGGGATATTGTGGACTTTTGTATTTTCATATGATGGATTACATGTGTTGAATTACCTTTGTGTTGAAGTCTCTTTTTGTTAACTTTGGTGCGGGTTTGTGCAGTACACAAAAGTGTGTGAGCCAGAGGCTAAAACACTGTGAGCTGGCTCACACTGACTCAGCTTAGAGGGAACACTGCCAGGGGGGGGCGGGGAAGGGGCCTCCCGCGTACGGCCGGCTCACCTTGTACTCCCAAAGATTCTGGGGCGGCTTCACGCCCAGCGTCTTCACCCGGTCCAGCTCCGCCACGATGGCCTTTCGGTGGCTGCTATTCTCGATGTAGTATGGGGCCCGGGCAAAATCCTCGTCCGTCAGCGTCAAGAGGAGCCTGGAACATCAACCGCTTCCGTTACAAAAGGAACGCCCCCCCCTCCTTTCCGGCTTTGCACGGCACTGAGCAATGCTCCTTCTCAGCCGTGGAGTCTCGTGAGCAAAAATTCCACGTTGTGAGCTACGACTGGCATTAAAGTTGCGAGTGAGCGATTGGGCTGCTGCAGAAATCAGTTTGCTCTGGAGCAATGTTCCCTCTAAGCTGTGGAGTCTCGTGAGCAAAAATTCTACTTTGTGAGCTACTACTGGCATTAAAGGGGTGAGTGAGTGATGTGGCTCCTGCATCAATCAGTTTCCTCTGGAGCCCTCCTTCCTGAGCTGAGGCAAAAATGTGTGAGCCGGAGGCTGAAAAACTGTGAGCTAGCTCACACTAACTCAGCTTGGAGGGAACACTGCTCTGGAGCCCTCCTTCCTGAGCTGAGACAAAAATGGGTGAGCCGGAGGCTGAAAAACTGTGAGCTAGCCGACACTAACTCAGCTCAGAGGAAACCCTGGCACCGAGCAACCAGGGACGGGGAACTGTGTAGCAGGAAAACACCGCGCTTCCGGGGACAGCGAAAGCCCGCCACGCAAGCAAAAGGTGGTCGCCTAGCTCCAACCACGTTCTAAAAAAGGTTTGACACGTTCCCAGCAAGGCCGACAAGCAGGGGCCTCTTGCTAATGGGGAAACTATTCATGGAAACTTACTTCCGAGCAATGTTCCTTCTAAGCCGTGGAGGTCCCATGAGCCAAAATCCTACTTTGTGAGCTACTGGCATTAAAGTTGTGAGCAGGTGATTTGGCTACTGCACCAATCAGTTGGCTCTGGAGCCCTCCTTCCTGAGCTAAGACAAAAATGGGTGAGCCGGAGGCGAAAAAACTGTGAGCTAGCTCACACTAACTCGGCTTAGAGGGAACACTGCTTCCGAGACAAACGCTTTTGCCCCAATGTCTGCACCACCTGGGGGGACACAAAACCTCCGGTAAGTAAGACCGCACAGTGTCTCTGCAGGGGTGCCGGCGGCACCGTCCTCACCTGCCGTTGACTCTCTCCAGCAGAAACCTCTCCTTGTAGAGGGAAGCCCACGGCCCCAGCTGGCCCAGCCAGTGCAGCACCTCCTCGGGGCCCCACCGGGCCACCGGCTTGTGGACAAGGAGGTCGTCCTCCAGTTCCCTGCTGCTCCAGTGATACCCGAGCAAGACCACCTGCAGGGCAAGCCAAGAGAGCCCCCGGAGAGGCGGAGAGGCCGTCATTCACCAGAAGAGTTTTCAGTCTGCCTTCCCACCCAGGCAGGGTCTCTACGGGGCGGCGGATGGAACAAAAACTTTAAGGCATTTAAGCGATTTAAAATACAGCTGAAATGATAAAGTAACTCCATTAGAAACACATAAACAAACAAGGCTAGCAGGAGAAGTTCCAAACCGTGTTTACCCCATCGACCTGTTACAGTTGTAATTAACTTGTTATGCTCAAGTTACATAAGGTAAAGGTAAAGGTTCCCTTGCTCGAAAGCCAGTCAAATCCGACTCTAGGGTTGCGGTGCTTATCCAAGCTGAAGAGCCAGCGCTGTCCGAAGACATTTCCGTGGTCATATGGCCGGAATGACTAAACACCAAGGCGCACAGAACATACTGTACCTTTTAATTTTATTGCTACATATTTTACTGTTTCTCAGTTTTATTTGTTATGCCTTGGTCGTACAGCTGCACTTTTACTATGGCATGTTGTGTTTATGTTTTGTTGTTTATAATAAAACTTTGAAAAAACCCCACATAAACAAACAACGCTAGCAGGAGGGCCAGTAATGGTTATTGGGGGGTACACCAGGTGAAGAGGGATAAGCGAAAGAAGAGGAGATTGGATTTATACCCCGCCCTTCACTACCCAAAGGAGTCTCAGAGCAGCTCACAAACTCCTTTCCCTCCCCCTCCCCACGACAGACACCCTGTGAAGTGGGTGGGGCTGAGAGAGCTCTTTCGAGGACTGCCCTGCAGAGAACAGCTCTGAGAGAACTTGCGACTGACCCAAAGTCACACCAGCAGCTGTATGAGGAGGAGTGGGGAATCAAACCCTGGACTCTGGAGAGAAGAGACTGGATTTATAGCCCACCTTCACTACCCGAAGGAGTCTCAGAGCAGCTCACAAACTCCTTCCCCTCCCCCTCCCCCCAACAGACACCCTGTGAAGTAGGTGGGGCTGAGAGAGCACCCTTGAGAACCGCTAGAAAACAGCTCTGAGGGAACTTGCAACTGACCCAAAGTCACACCAGCAGCTGCCTGTGGAGAGTGGTGAATCAAACCCGGTTCTCCCAGATTAGAATCCGCTGCTCTTAACCACAACATCATGCTGGGTCTGCTGAAAGACACCCATAGAGGGAGACAAGCAAATCTCCCCGGGGCAGGAAGTCCAAAGTTCCAAACATACAGCAGGGATATGTGGAGACAGTGGCTACAAAGCAGAGAAGCTGAGCAGGGAGCAGAGAAGACAACGGAAGGAGAAGAGTAGGTTTTTGTACCCTGCTTTTCTCTACCCTAAAAGAGTCTCAAAGCGGCTTTCAATCGCCTTCTCTTCCTCTCCCCACAACAGGACAAAGTTTGAGTCCAGGGGCCCCTTTAAGACCAACAAAGTTTGATTTGAGGTATAAGCGTGTGTGTGCAGGCGCACTTCTTCTGAGGAAGTGTGCATGCAGGCGAAAATTTATACCTCGAATCAAACTTTGTGGGTCTTAAAGGGGCCCCTGGACTCAAACTTCGCTCTGCTGCTTCAGACCAAGACGGCTACCCCACCTGAATCTATCTCCCCACAACAGGCACATTGTGAGGCAGGTCGGGCTGAGGTAGTTCAGACAGAACTGTGACTGGCCCAAGAAGAAGAAGAAGAAGAAGAGATTTATACCCCATGGCCCTTCACTACCTGAAGGAGTCTCAGAGCGGCTTACAATCTCCTTTCCCTTCCCCTCCCCACGATAGACACCCTGGGAGGTGGGGGGGGGCCTGAGAGAGCTCTTTCGAGGACCGCGACTGAGAGAACAGCTCTGAGAGAACTAGTGACTGACCCAAGGCCACACCAGCAGCTGCATGTGGAGGAGGAGTGGGGAATCAAACCCGGTTCTCCCAGATGAGAGTCTGCCACTCCTAACCATTACACCAAACAAGGTCACCCAAGCAGACTTCACACGGAGGAGGAGAGGGGAATCGAACCCGGACTCAGAGCCCGCTGGTCTTAACCACTCCAGCAGGCTGGCTCTCACCTCCTGCCCAACCTTCGTATTCCCAATCGGCCCAAAGAGCACACGACTTCCTTACGACACAGTATACATTACAGGCGGGAAAACTCTGCGCAGGGGCAGCGAGGAAAAATGCCTTCAGGCCAAAGGCTTGGCATGACTGACACAGGGGAGCAGAAGCCCACAACACGCGTGGGGGTGTCCCCCCCCACACACGTTTAGTACCCTGCCTCGCATCTCCCAGTGAAAAAAGCCTGCAAGAAGGGCAGGGAACCCGTTAAGTGTGCGGACTCTAATCTGGGAGAACCGGGTTTCATTCCCCACTCCTCACCTGCAGCTGCCGGTGTGACCTTGGGTCAGTGACAAGTTCTTTCAGAGCTGTTCTCTCAAGGGCAGTCCTCGAAAGAGATCTCTCAGCCCCACCTAACCTCACAGGGTGTCTGTTGTGGGGAGGGGAAGGGAACGGAGTTTGTAAGCCCCTCTGAGACTCCCAGTGAAGGGCAGGGTAGAAATCATAGAATCATAGAATGTTAGAGCTGGAAGGGACCTTGCAGGTCATCTAGTCCAACCCCCTGCACTCTGCAGGAGCGTAGCCGAAAGAGAGCCCTACATACCTACAACATACCCAAAAGATGGTCGTCCAGCCTCCGCTTGAAAACGTCCAGCGAAGGAGCCTCCACCCCCTCCCGAAGCAGACTATTCCACTGCTCAACCACTCTGACAGTCAGGAAGTTTCTCCTGATATTTAGCCAGTAACGACTCCCTTGTAATTCCCACCCATTAGATCTAGTCTTGCAAACCGGAGCAAGAGAGAATAGATCCGCTCCATCTTCTACATGACAGCCCTTCAAATACTTGGAGACTGCAATTGTGTCCCCTCTAAGCCTTCTCTTTCCCAGGCTAAACATACCGATCTCTTCTTCTTCTCCTTCCTTTAGCTTGGCGGTGGCCCCCACTCCAGCTACGGGAGAGAAGGTGGTGGCCCACGGAAGGAGAAAGGCCAGCAAAAGCAGGCCCAGACCACGACCCGCCTGGCTCCACCTTCCCTGCTGAAGGGACTCGAGCGGAGGGCACGAAGGCGGCCCACGAAAGTCTGAGATGTCTCTCCGTCTCGGGTGGCTCAACCCGCCCCTGAACGCCCAGCCCACCTCCTCCGAGAACAGCCAGCGGGGAAACGTACCGCCACGCAACTCAACGCCGTCAGGACTCCGGAGAAGAAGCCCCTCCCCCGAGGATCGGTCCTCCCCGCGTTTGGGGCCGCAGACGCCTGGTCGCTCCCGTACTTCTGGAAGGCCGCCAGGCTCCGGGAGACGTCGGGGTTCTGCTGGACGTCGTCTTTCCGCTGCTCGGTGGCGTCCGGGAACAGCTTCTCGATGGCATCTCTGCGGGGGG